GAACGAACTTATGGGTTTAATGATAAATACTTATGTCCCAGTAAAAGATCTACTGATCCTGATTGCCAAATAGAGATTATATTTTTTGTCCCTATTGGTCTTGTGTAGGGTGGGCAACCTGGGGAAAAACAGTGGATCAAGATATGATTATCCAGAGGTTGCCTACCACACCATACTGTAAATCTATGGAATATAATCCGGTCCATATGACCATCTGTAATCCCCAGCATTTTATTGACAAATTTGGAAATATTTTTGGGTTGCATATATATGGCACAGAAGTAGATCCAGGAACAATAATATATGTAGGTCTTGAAACTGAGACAGTGGCAACTCAAACTCATCAGGTTTTCCATTCCTTTTATGAGGAGATGAGTGTTGAGGATAAAATTCCCCATAATGTTAAGAACATATTTATTGATTTGGCTGAGAGTATTGCGGGTAGTCTTAATGTAACTAATTGCTATGTGTGTGGAGGTACTAATATGGGAGACCAGTGGCCATGGGAGGCAAAGGAAATATGGTACCCTGTCTCTGAGACATATTAACAACAGATACCTTTTCAGTCTGATCATCAAGTAAGTACTAGAAGTAAATCGGAATGGCGGTTAAAAACCTCCATTATAGGTCATGTTTGTATAGCCAGGAAAGGGACAATGTATAACACGTGTGTAGGTGAGCTAACTTGCTTGGGACAAAAAGCCTATAATGTTAATACTAAAAATACTACTTGGTGGTCAGCTTCAAATGTCTCGGAGCCTACTAATCTGTTTGCCAATTACACTCATTTAAAGGAGGTATGGTTTGACTTATCTGCTACATCTAGTTGGAAAGCCCCAGCAAATTTATACTGGATCTGTGGTAGGAAAGCTTATTCGGTGTTACCACAAGATTGGGAAGGGGCATGTGTATTGGGTATGCTCAAGCCATCCTTCTTCGTGTTGCCAATTGAGACAGGAGAGACCTTGGGAGTTAAGGTTTATGATGTAAATCATAAAAGGAAGAGAGCATCCTTGAATATAGGTAGTTGGGAAGATGATGAGTGGCCCCCTCAACGTATTATTAATTATTATGGACCTGCTACTTGGGCAGAAAATGGCACTTATGGATATAGAACTCCGATATATATGCTCAACCGCATTATTAGACTACAGGCGGTGGTTGAGAGTATTATTGAGACAGCTCAAGCGCTTAATCTTCTAGCTAAGCAAAATACCAGGATGAGATCAGCCATCTATCAAAATAGATTAGCTTTAGATTATCTATTAGCAGTGGAAGGAGGTGTATGCGGAAAGTTTAACCTTAGCAACTGTTGTTTGCATTTAGATGATGAAGGTCAGGCAGTGGCTGAACTTACTAGTCACATGGTTAAACTTGTGCATGTACTGACTCAGGTCTGGAATGGGTATAATCCTAATAGTTGGTTTGGAAGCTGGTATGAGCAGCTTGGAGGAATTAAGACGTTAGTAGGAGGAGTAGTGTTTATCATATCCTTATGTCTTTTTCTGCCCTGTCCACTAATTCCATTAGTGGTAAGGTCCCTACATAGTATTATAGAGAGTACTATAGAGAGAAAGACAGCGGCTCATGTAATGGCTGTCTATAGATATGATCCCCTAGCCCAAAGAGAATATATTCAGGCTGAGGAATGTTTAAGGAGTTTTTACGATGCTTACAAGGTCTACTCTGGTTCAATGGCTACTTGAGAGATGTAGGTAAAACTGTGATTGGTGATGCATCTGGAATAATTTGTATCAGAGGCATCAAATGGGGGAATGTGGTGGAATTTCGGTGAATGTAAATTTAGTAGGCCAAGATTTCCATGTGGCATATGTGTATGTTGTGTCAGTTAGTCAGCTACACGTAGCTAGGATACTGTCATCAATGTACTGAGCATGTGCAGGAATGCAGGAACTGAACTTGCCCTTATTTCCTTTGTCTTGGATGGGCCATGTGGTTTGACTAGATGTACAAGTCTATATTCTGCTCATTGATTGGTTAAAGGTATATGTGGGTGTAGCTATTAATGGGAGGAGTTATAGTGCTATATAAGGAATGTACACCATGTGTTGGTCTCTCAGATCATTTGGAACAGGAGTTCATCTGAGAACCGATCGGTAATGTGAATAAAGGCCTCTTACTTCCTGAATACCTGTGTCCATATCTCTGTGTTTGGCTTCTGCATGCTTACACTGCTACATTATCTCCATCAAAAACAATCGGCCCCACAACTAAATTAACCTTTTTGGGGATAGAGCTAGACTCTTTTACCCTCCGAGCTAGCCTTCCCCACGACAAACTGATCCACTTGAGAGGGGAGATAGACATGTTCCTGCGGAATGATGTTTGCACCAGAAGGGAACTTCAGTCCCTTCTGGGATCCCTTAACTTCGCCATGCACATCATCCCGCAGGGAAGGTCTTTTATATCCAGGCTTCTTTGCCTGCTCCACGGGGTACGGACTCTTGCCCAGTTTCATTGGACCCCCACGCAAAGGCTGACTTAGCTATGTGGGGGAAGTTTTTGTCAGATTGGAACGGTATCTCCATGTTTATCCCCCCCTCTCTCCATTGTTCACCCATCATCCACACAGATGCTGCAGCCAACTCTGGTTTCACAGCCATCTTCGGGAACCACGAGTTCAGGGGTCACTGGCCCGCTGAGACAGTTGCCTTGCCAGGATTCAGGGAAGCCTCAGCCCTATTCGAAATTTATCCCATCGTGACGGCCACACACACCTGGGGCCATCTTTTGTCCGGCAAGGCAGTAAAATGCTATTCTGATAACTCGGCGGCTTGCGAAATCATAAACAAGGGGCGCTCATCGTCCCTTACCATCATGCGGCTGATTCACAAGCTGACCTGGCTGGCAGCAACCGTCCAGTTTCATTTAATTTGTTTTCACATCCCGGGCACCCACAACACGGCCGCTGATGCTCTTTCTCATTCTCAATTCCAGGTATTCTTCCAGGCACTCCCTACGGCTCACCACCAGCCATCCAGGACACCACGATTTCACAAACTAATCCTGGATTGAGCACACTTATGCACCACGCTAGGACTCTCACTCACCAAGCACTATCACCCAACACAGCTATCTCATACAATAGGGCACTTACCATTTTTAACAAATTCACTGCAGAATTCGGTTTACAAGGCGACTTCTCTACACAAACCATGGTGGCTTTTGCCTCTTTCTGCCATTTACATCTTAAACTTTCTCACAACACCATTAAACTTTACCTCACCGGGGTTCAGCACCATAGCCTCACCAATTTTCCTAACAACACCCCTTTCTTGTCATCATATCCCATTAAGAAGGTCTTGAAAGGTATATTAAAGGTTTCGGTTCCACTCACCACCACAAGACTACCTATAGATGGGCCTATCTTTAGATCACATAGCAATCTCCTTGACGAATCCCCGTTCGATCCCAAGACAAACCTGATTAAATCCGCTATTTATCTTGCTTTCTACGGTTTTCTCAGACCCAGAGAGTTCACCGTTGTTTGTCAAGGAGATATCACGCGCAGCCTAAAAACATCACACCTCACTAAGGTGGAGGATCACTACCTACTTACGATCCCATCAACTAAAACTAATCACTCTCAACACCCCACCATAATTCCTCTTTTCCCTACCGATAATGCCTGGTGTCCGGTCAAGGCGCTAGATCACCTACGGTCAACCCATCACGCGCACTTACCAGACTCTCCGCTCTTATCACTACAAGGGCACCCGCTCACCACGGCTAAATTCACGGCACACGTCAGAACACTACTATCCAAACTGGGTTACAATCCGGCTTCATTTTCCGGGCACTCATTCCGCATAGGAGCCGCTTCATCAGCCTCTAGCACAAACACCCCGGTCCACATCATCAAGAGACTGGGTCGTTGGAAATCTTCCATATATCATACATATATACCACGACCAGAAAAAGAGCTTCGTCAAGCTTTCAGGAACTTGGTTATGTAAAAAAGGCAATAAAGTGTGTATTTTCTCGAACTTCTCTTTTGCCCTCTTTTATTTACAGGCCCACTCGTACGTTGGTTTCGGCACACCACAACCAACTTTGCCCTTTCAGATACTATCCATTACGTATTAAATTCTGAGCACAAGTAGAAAGGCCATTAGGCCTGAATTTGTGGGAGGAGTAAGTCCCCTACTTAAACTCCCAGCCCCTACTCATCTCTGCCGGTTCAGTTGATTGTCCCCACCTACACCCTGTTATCATTATATTCTCCTTGGTGGGCCCTCTTTTATTTACAGGCCCACTCGTACGTTGGTTTCGGCACACCACAACCAACTTTGCTTTTTCAGATACTATCCATTACGTATTAAATTCCGAGCACAAATATATATATATATATATATATATATATATATATATATATATATATATATATATATATATATATATATATATATACACATACATATATATATATATACATATACATACATACACACATACATATATACACATACACATACATACATACATACATATATCTCCAAAAGTACAAGATAGCACTCCAGGGACTTCCAAGTAGAATGAATAAAACTTAGCTTTTATTAGCTCCAAATAAAAATCAACGTTTCAGTCTGTATCACAGACTTTGATCAGGATCCTGATGAAAGTCTGTGATACAGACTGAAACGTTGATTTTTATTTGGAGCTAATAAAAGCTAAGTTTTATTCATTCTACTTGGAAGTCCCTGGAGTGCTATCTTGTACTTTTGGCTATATATATATATATATATATATATATATATATATATATATATATATATATATATCAAAATAAAAAAACAATGTTTCAGTCTGTATCACAGACTTTCAGCAGGATTTAATCCTGATGAAAGTCTGTGATGCAGACTGAAACGTTAATTTTTATTTTGAGCTAATAAAAGCTAAGTTTTATTAATTCTACTTGGAAGTCCCTGGAGTGCTATCTTGTACTTTTGGCTGTATCTGTTTGCTGATAAGCACCGGGCAAGTACATCAAGGAAGGTGGAGTGCATTACAAAATAGTAATGCACTCCACCTTCCTTGATGTACTTTCCCGGTGCTTATCAGCAAACAGATACAGCCAAAAGTACAAGATAGCACTCCAGGGACTTCCAAGTATATGTATATCACAAATAGTAATGATGCACTCCACCTTCCTTGATGTATTTGCACACTCCTGGATTTTAGAAAAAAGTGTTTGGTTTATTGTGTCCAAACAATCAAGTTCAGCAGATCGACGTTTCGACCTATACAACAGTGTATTTAACATTAAGTGCATATTTATACAAAATACAAATGATTACTTACCAAGTGCAGTGAATAGAACCTCCCCCAGCCTATCTAAATCCGGAAGTGTGGAAAGGCTGCAAGTGACGTCATTATGCTACGCCCCGCTGTGGTTATGACTGTTGCTAAGCAACCTGTGCAATACATGTGATATTGTGAAATAAAATACCTATATGCTATCTTTCCAACAACGGAGGATTAATGGAATCAGAGGAAGTGAACAGAAGTGTGATTTAGTGTGTGAAAGTGACAAACAACGAGTGATCAATGTGATGGAAAACGTGAAAAAAATAATATAATAAATCGCTCCTCTGGAGATGGAAAATCCTAAGTCTGCAGTAAAGTTAAAAAAAAAGTTATTATAAGAAGCACAAGCTGCCCAGCTACAGATAGCAGGGTGTATTTTCCAAAGATAAAAAGAACTAACTGCCCAAATGCAGATAGCAGAGTGTGACACTCAAAGATAAGAGGAAACACATACTGAAATGTATTAGATATTACATAACCCAACATATATTAACTACTAATAGACTATAAATATCCTGAAAGATAATAATCTACTAAATCATGTGAATAAAGAATATGGGCTGTATATATCGCTAGCACAAAAAAAAAAAAAGGGGAAACAAGCTGTCCCAATACGGATAACAGGGTGTGCTTCTTAAAAATAAGAAGAATAAGAAAAAGTAGATACTAGAATATTACATAGTTACATAGCTGAAAAGAGACTAGCGTACATCAAGTTCAGCCTTCCTCACATATGTTTTTGTTGTTGATCCAAAAGAAGGCAAAAAACCTAGTCTGCAGCGCTTCCAATTTTGCAACAAACTAGGAAAAAATTCCTGCTTGACCCCAAAATAGCAGTCAATTATCTCCTTGGATCAAGCAGCTATTACCCCACTAATTAGACATTATATCCCTGTATGTTATGTTTTTGCAAGTATTTATCTAATTGCTGTTTAAACATTTGTATGGACTCTGATAAAACCACCCTTCAAGCAGAGAATTCAACATCCTTATAGTTCTTACTGTGCAAAAAAAAACAAAAAAAAACTTTTTCTTTGCCTTAGATGAAATCTCTTTTCTTTCAGCTTAAATCCATGACCTTGTGTCCTATGTCCCTGTTTATGAACAGATTTCCAGATCATGGTTTGTATTGGCCCCGAATATATTTGTATAATGTTATCATATCACCTCTGAGGCGTTTTTCCAAACTAAACAGATTTATTTTTTTTAACCTTTCTTCATAACTAAAATGCTCCATTCCTTTTATCAATTTTGTAGCTCGTCTCTGGACCCTCTCCAGTGCCATGGTATCCTTCTTTAGAACAGGCGCACAAAATTGCACAGCATATTCAAGGTGTGGTCTTACCAGTGATTTATAAAGAGGCAAAATTATATTTTCATCCCAAGAATTTATGCCCCTATTTATACATGACAAAATTGTCCTGGCCTTATAGCAACTGCAGATTGACATTGCATATTGCTGCCTAATTTGTTGTCTATAACAATTCCCAAATCCTTCTCGTGTGTGGTTATCCCTAATTCACTACCATTTAGTGTGTAAGTTGCTTGTGCATTCTTAACCCCGAAGTGCATAACTTTGCATTTCTCAATGTTAAATTTCATCTGCCATTTTAGTGCTCAGTCCCCCAATCTATGCAAATCTCTCTGCAGCAAAGCAATATCCTGCTCACATTTTATTACTTTACAAAGTTTTGTGTCATCTGCAAACACTGATACATGGCTTTCAATGCCTATTTCAAGATCATTTATAAATATGTTAAATAGAAGTGGCCCCAAAACAGAACCCTGAGGGACACCATTTACCACTTTTGTCCAGCCTGAAAATGGACCATTAATTACAACTTGTTGTACTCTATTCTTAAGCCAATGTTCTACCCAAGAACAAGAACATTCATCTAGACCAATTTCTTTTAGTTTGAAGACTAACCTATTGTGAGGAACCATATCAAATGCCTTGGCAAAATCCAAGTAGATCACATCCATTGCAACACCCTGATCTATACTTCTACTTACTTCTTCGTAGAATGCAATTAGGTTAGTTTGACATGACCTATGTTTCATAAAACCATGTTGATTATTGCTAATAACAAAGTTCTTCCCAATGAATTCCTGAATATTATCCCTTAATAGCCCTTCAAATATTTTCCCAGTTACAGAAGTTAAGCTCACAGGTCTATAATTTCCAAGCAAGGATTTTGAACCCTTTTAAAATATAGGAACAACATCTGCCTTTCTCTAATCCTCCGGTACAACACCTGAAACAAAACAATTTAGAAAAATTAAATACAGAGGCTCACTTATTTCCCCACTTAGCTCCTTAAGTACTCGTGGGTGAATCCTGTCAGGCCCCGGAGCTTTATTTACATTAATTTTCTTTAATAGCTGTAACACCTTGTCTCGAGTTATCCAATCACAAGTTATTTGCAAGTTTTTTGCAGCAATCATTTGCATATCTCTTGCCATAGGATCCTCATTAATATATACTGAAGAAAAATAGTTATTTAAAATGTCTGCTTTTTCCTGGTCTTCATTAGCTAATAAACCCAACTCTGTTTCAAGTGTACCTACACTTTCATTTTTTGTTTTTTTAGAATTGATGTACTTGAAAAAAATTTTGGGGTTGGTTTTGCATTCTTTAGCTATCAATTTCTCATTTTCTAGTTTAGACACTTTAATTGCCTTTTTGCAAGCGTTATTGGCTTCCTTATATCTTAAATAGGATGCCTTTGATTTGTCTGATTTAAATGCTTTAAATGCTCTTTTCTTAATTTTAATCTCTTGTTTTACTTCTCTACTAAGCCACATTGGTTTTAATTTGTTTCTTTTATATTTATTACCCAATGGTACATACTGAGAAATGTACCTTTCTAATATGTGTTTGAATAGTTTCCATTTATCCTCAGTGTTTTTATCACTAAGGAGTTTATGCCAGTCAATATGTTGTAGAGCTGCCCTAATCTTATTGAAGTTGGCTTTTTTAAAATTATCTGTTTTTAGTATACCCCACTTGCTTTTGCTTTTTTGAGTTTATTTCAAAATGTACCATATTGTGATCACTATTTCCCAAATGCTCCCCTACTTGAATGTTGGTTAAAAGATCAACATTGTTTGTTATGACAAGATCAAGACAAGCATCCTTTCTAGTTGGTGCTTGTACAAGTTGTGACATAAAGGTGTCATTTAACACATTAAAAAAACCTGATGCCCTTTGCTGAAGTACTAGTCTCTCTTTCCCAATTTATGTCTGGATAATTCAAATCTCCAATAATTAACATGTTACCTCGATTTGCAGCTTTCTCAATTTGCTCTAACAGCTGTTCTTCCTCAATAATATTTACATTAGGTAGTTTATAACATATCCCAACCAATAATTGATTTCCCTTTGTTTGCCCCAAGCAGATATCTACCCACAAAGCCTCCACCTTTTCCTCGTCACACTCCACATGCCTAAGATTTGACTTTAACTCATGGTTGACATATAAACATACACAAAAAGCAAATATCCCTTAACGGGGATAGTAAGTGATACACTAGAGTGCCTGAATAAAGGAAGCAGCTCAACACAAAAAGTGGAATACCCTAATCCACAATAAAGTGCAAATATTAAAAAAAAGAAAAGGTATAGACAATATACCAACAAGTGGAGCGCTATGGTAAGTGTAAATAGTAAGGGGGTACACTTACCCCTCCAATACAGTGATAGTCTTGAAAATATATATCCAAATATACATATAAAACAAAACAAAGAAAGAGAATATATAGTGCAGATGGTTTGACAAATGAAAGCAATTGATGGTAACAAGATGCTTTAAGCCACTCACATGGATTGGAGCCTATATAGAATTGGCTCCGTAAATGACTCCTTTTTGCTTTTAAGGCAGCAACACACCCCTTTGTCCCAAACGATATTCCTTCATGGATACCTGTTAAACAATTAATCCGTGAATTTGAGATTAGTAATGTTATGTCATTGCAAGCACCACCCACTACTGAACTTATGATTAAGTTGCAAGAGGAAATCAATAAATAACAAAATGGATTGATTAGATTTAAAAAAAAAAAAAAAAAACTTGAAAAAATTAAATCATGATTACCAGTATCATCAAGTATATCACTGGCTAAGTGGCACTGAGATCACTAGAAACTCCACTCCTTGATTTTGACAACGGATACGCAGACCCTCGTTTCAAACTATTGATATAGGTTTGGGAGAATCAACATCAGATGCTGACTCCAAATCAGATGGTATATCCTACAGATCAGTCACTTTTTTAGACAGGGACCAGCATACCAGCGATCCCCCTGCAAGATCAAATATTTAAACTTTAAGCACCAGAGGAACAGGACAATACGAAGGGAAAAGAAAAACTACAAGAAACACAAGCGCCAGAGAAAAAAAACCCATGCAGAGGCGGCGACTGTAGTCTTTAACCTGTCAAACAAAATCTTGACCCCATATCATCACTCTGTACTGAACAAGGGACTGACTTTTGTACCAGCGAGAAAACCTGTTCCATTTGATATGGAAATTGAATTATACAAAATACAGAGAACCCTGTATTGTAATGAAATCATGAAAGAGCCTATAACTAAACCTGGTGTACCGATGCTCTCTAAAGATAAGAGAGATATTTATACCAAACAGATCCTTAGTACCACTACACACCCTAAACAAAATCTAACTAAGGAAGAACAAAATGCCTTAACCCCTTAAGGACCAAACTTCATGACATGTGTC